GGGCGGTTTTAGCATTCGGGCGGCAGTCGCTCAGTAGCCTGATCGGTATAGATATCGATCAACGTACTGAGCTACTGCCTGCCAAATACTCAAAACTGCCCGCGAAAACGCTTAAAACGCCGATGTACGCTGAAGACGCTCGATCGATGCCTATACTTTCCTAGTCGCTCAAAACGCTGCTGTACGCTGACGTAAGCTCGAAACGCTGACGCAAGGCACGGACGCGGCCTTATTAGACCTATGGTGTGGAGCTGCACGTTTCTCAGAAATCAGTTCCGTTTAGCATTTTGCATCCAATTCGTTATCCATTATTCAAACATTGCCCTTTTCTTTGTTTTCGGTCCTTTTTCAATTCTGTTCGAATTTCTTTGCAACATTCTGCAACATTATATCAGAATGTTATCATGATTATCATGTGATTATATGAGACTGTTTTCATGACTAATTGACTTATCATTTTTACGAACTTTCCATTTTGACATTTGATTTTGCACACGTTTTCCTCCGTGCACTCATTCATATAGCAACACATCATACTTTTCTTCTTCTGAATATAGGCTTCAGTCACAGTTACGGGGTTCGTTCGACTTCATTACGACCACCAAGTTGGTATCCATTGCCACCAAATAAGTCTATACTACTCTCAGAAGGGCGCCAAAATTGCGATAATGGAGCGGAAATAAAATTATTTCGGCGTGTCCATACTTCGCCTATCAGAGTGATCAGATCACGAAGCATGAGAGCGATCTAAGACCGCGTTCATACTTTGCGACTGAGGAGATTCTGCCATGGGAGACTTGGCGATTCGAGAGATTGCAGCTCTTGTTTTCAATGATTCTTCGTGACGTAAAGGCACATCCTGTGATCAAAAATAGTGGGTAGCGCGATTCACGAGCTAACGACGGCATTATAAGTATAGGTATATATAGCAAGAATTAAAAAAAAACAGAAAACCCTTCTGAAAAGCCCTAGATAGGACTCTCTGCTAATCGTGGCTCGTACAAGTATACAGCGAAAGAGGGCGTGTCTGGACGAGTTATAACTCGCTATCAGCTCTTTCCCTTATCACCTCACTTTCATCAATCGAAATGGAGCGAGCTAGTAGCGTGGCAACCGTTGGTTGCCGGGAACCTCTGGAAAAGAACGTTGGCTGTAGTATGGGGCGCTGGGCGGGACATGGCCTTCGTCATGATCGGCTGGAGTCGTTATCACGTATTTTTCAGTCACAGAAATGATAGATCTTCTGTGCTTGTATACCTTGCCCAAGAATGGCATCGTGGCACCAAATGAACGCCGAATGTGACTTTAAGTCTTTCGCAACCAGGGCACTATAGGCACCTAAT